CGTCGATGATCCAGTCGAAAAGAAAGGAATCGAAGACAAGTTTAAAGAAGACATGAAGGGTTTGAAGAAGAAGAAGAGAAACAAACGGCACCCCAAGCCCGCACCGATGATAGAATCCGAAATCGCGAAACGATTTACGCGCCTTGATGACTCGTTAAAAGGTTTTTACTGCCAAGATTTTGCCGAGGAAAGGATGCTGGATGATATCATGGAAAAGAAATGGGGAGTCAGTGTGCAGCACTCGTATGCTGATGCTGAGATGGATCTAAAGATAGAGGAGGAACGTGAAAATATCAGGCATGATATGTACGCCGCATTGGATAACTTCGAGATCAGTTATGATGAAGGATCCTTTAATTTGGGGTTCGAAGAAGATGAAGCTTTGGTGAAAAAACAATGAATAAACACTTTACAATTGATGGCGCTAATGTTTCTCGTTACTCATTCACGTTCTAAAAATTTTGCTCACTCGAAAGAATGAAAACAATGGTTTCAATCGATATGAGAATTTCCTTATTAAGACTTACATTTATGCATGAAAAAACAAAATATATTCAATGTTTTTGCATGATTTCTTATTGCTACCTTTCAATTTCTGTAAAACGCCTTGGCCTTGTCAACATTTGAGGTTATGAACCATTCCGAGGTTGAGGAAAAAACTGGGTCGAGTTGGCATTGCAAAGCATTGTGGGATTCTTTTAGCACGAAATAGACGGCATCTTGGAAATGCCTTCTGAACCAGCCCCACAATGCATTGCAATACCAACTCGACCCAGTTTTAATTTTTTTTCCCTTAACCCCCCGGAATGGCTAGTAGGCCCATTTGCACCAATTCCCAGAAGGAAAACAATTAATAATTATATTATCCCCTCGTCCTCCATGTAGAGTTGCATTGGGAATGTGCTGCAATGGGTCTGTAAGTATTTCACATCATGTAAAATATGCATGTAAAAATTAGTGAAAAAGTTGGTTTAATATTCTTGGACAATAAATACTCCATTAAGCAGCCTCTACATTTAGTTTGACAGTTATCCTAAAATGTAGGTTTTCAGTAAAATCAAATCAAGCGGTATCTGACTGTAAGTCTTATTACCATCATCCTCTTCTTCATTATTATTAGTGTTATTATCATTATCATCATCATCATTTATGGTTATTATCGTCATAGCCTTGGAGTCCTCCCCTCCAAGGAGCCTGGCTAAGTAAGCATGCTACTGTCCATCCATTGTTATCATGTAAAATTTTTCTACAACTGTGTTACGACTGTTACGAGCATTTGGAAAACTTAGTACATTTATTATTGAATGACAACAAGCCGTTAATAAAATGCACGATAAATAGCTGTATTGCTCGATAAGTACGGGAACGGGGCGATTATCTGAATAAACCAAATTACTAAGACCTCCGACTCACCATCTACTTCCGGTTAGGTTTTGAGCCTGTTGTTTATTACACAGCGGCTAACCGTTTTACAAAATAAACCACTCCACCCAAAGGTCACTTGTAGACAAGACAGCATTAACCTGGAACCTGCCTTGGCTTATAAGTTCACAGCCATTTTTGTGTGTTTTGTAAAAATATTACCCGGATTATAATTGAAAGGTCTAATGGGCAAGTCTTCGTAAACGAGGAATATCTTACGTGAAGGTACGAGTCGTTTATTATCAATATTTCATGTACTATGTAACAGACAGCATTGCCTCTAAACAAGAGGTTGCTAATCTCCTCAATCGTAATGATTTCATAACTTGTTATTAAGCTCAAATGTAAACAAGACTGCAAAGGATTGACAAGGAATAGTATGTCTCAAATATGATTTTTTCCCCCCCTACTTTAGATTTTCTTTGAATCTTAATTTGAGAACCAGCAATCATACTGACATATTTGTGCATCGAACTAATGTTCGACTGCACGAGGTGTAGATAATGAATCAGTATACTCGGTCACGCTTCTTGCGTTAGGGGAATCGAACTGGTAGCCCTGTGAAAACACCACTCATCGCTATAAAGAAAATAGATGACATGAATATGACAGTAAACTCAGGAAAAAAATTGGAACTTGAGCGAAATTGCATACCCTGTTTATGACAAGAAGCTCGAAAAACCATACCCTGTTCAGCGGATCATCCCCGTATAGTCCATATGTTGGATTACTCCCCCCCCCCCCCCCCATGGGCCTGTAGCTAGCTCTCCCCCTACAATGACATATGGACGCATATATTTGTCGTATGATATTCAAGGGACCGAACAAAACCGCCGAACAAAATGAATAGAAATTGAATGGCTGGATGGATGGTTAAATGAATGAAAGAAAAAAGGATAAGTGTGATTTACCACTGAAATTTACGCATGCATGCATGCATGGACAACACTATCAAGCTAGTGGAAGGTGTTTGCAACTGTCAGACTTTACTTAACGTCATGTTTATACTATATGTGAATGCTAATTCGAAAAAGGTCGACTCGTGATCTTGAATACTGATATTGCACAAGATCCCTGAGGTGTTTACATGAAACAAAACAGTTTCTACCAGAAAAGTACAATTTACGTTTTAAAAATAGATGTATATTTTGAAATTTTTGAGACCAAAGGGGATTTACCATAGGATCGCACTTTATTTCAGTTCATTCTACATTAGTCAAGTATCACTAGACAAAATCCAATCAAGCCGAGCACGCTAGAAAGTTTTCAAGAATCGAGTGGTCAGTACTGTCCTACGCAGTTGCATGTGTATAGATCTGAAGATGAGTGAAAAGACGTTCTTCATCGGTTTGATATTCATCGTTGTGACTCTAGGTAAGTAGATGGTTTTGTAGAAGCAATCGCGTAGTTGTGATATAGGGTTTATGTTATTTGAGGCAGCTATCGATAAGTACTTAGTGGAAACATTTAGCACGTGTATATAATAATGTTAGTAAAGAAATGAGAGTTTTGAAAGAACCATTCTGATTCGGAAAATGTTAAGGAACGAATCTGCTCTACAATGCCGCTTGATTGATGACCAAAGAAGCTACGAATAATATTTTTCTCCAAGCGAGTCTTCATAACATGGCTTTCTCTATTTTAGAAGTTTAAATCAGACCTCTCATTCAAACACGTTTCGAGTGCTGTTGTTGTTGAAAGGTTTGGTTTAGTAACCTTTTTCATCTCAGGGATGAACCATTAGAGAATATTGAGAGGGAGGGGGTGGAGGAATTTATGCTGCAACAATATACAGTCCTTTGACTAAACGTTGTCGTTGATCGGATCATCCCTACACGCCTAGACCGAAGAGGATAACGGGTAAATTACCCAGAACTTGCGTCATCCAAACTGCTCGCCAGTTTAAATCTTCGCCGTACGCTCGAGACATGGTTTTAGCAAATTAAATGGGATCGAAAAAAGCGAGCTCAAGACGTGTTAGATAACATATGCGGCAGCTAGTAACTGTGAATTAATTATCCCCATGATCCTTTTCTGTCTAGGCGCGTAGGGATGCAGCCGATCAAACGACAACGTTTAGTCAAAGGACTGTTTATACTTGTAATAACCCCTGCACGCATCTTGTTTTGTGTTTGCTCGATATTTCTTTACTGAAAGGAGAGGTGTTTTATTATTACTCGACGCGGGAGAGCCTATAACCACGAATTGATTTCACTGATGTTTAGAACAGGTATCCAACGATCTCTACGAACCTGTGTTTTGCGGTCCTCCAAAGCCCTTAATTTTTCCAATCGACCATCCAGACTACACCTACTGGCCATTCTTCGTCACACTCCATCGATGCGGTGGGTCTTGTTCCCTGATCAGTCCTCGAATACAGCGCTGTGGACCCTCGGGCGTGGATACCATTTCTCGATCAGTGTTCGACTTGGCCGTGGGCAGATACAAGACCATGGAACTTAAAAATCACACGAGTTGTAACTGTTCGTGTGCATTGGATTCTGGAAGCTGCACGGCTCTGGAAAAATGGGATCCTAATTCATGCAGATGTATCTGTAATATTCCTGACGGCGAGCCGTATGTCTGTCCCACCAATTACATGTAAATACTCTGTTAAAATTTTTAGAAGAAAAATCGGTCATTTTGATACAGCCCGCTACGTACAGCGCTTCTCAATCAAAGGCGCGAAATCGAACATTGAACAAAATAGAGTTTTGGTGGACGTCAATCAAAGTGTTTCTATGACAATGTCGGAAAACACAAAGCTTTCAAGGGCCCGTGTCTATGGAATGTCATGAAAACGGCTTCATTGACATAAATTTTCGCCACAGAAATTTGTTTAATTTCGCGCGTAATATATAAGGTTGCGTGCGCGGAATCGTGTAATCCGTTGTGATGAGATAGGGTTTGCGTTGATGAACGTCAATTCATAAGACTCTCTTAAAACTCGTATTTGTTTAAAAAAATGTAACAAATGTGCCGTTCAGGGAAAGGCAAGGCGAAGGGGCTCTATAGACCCCTTGCAATTAGTCCCTAGAGGAATTGTTCTTGGGGACAAAACAATGGATTTTTTTTGCATAAGAAAAAACGGCCTATTGTTTTGTCCCCCAGAACAATTCCTCTCGGGAGTCAGTGCAAGGGGTCTATATATCACTATATTTGGGCCCAAAGAGAGGTGTGCATAACCGGTGTTTGGGAATTAAGCTGGCACTTCCTCCCCGAAGCGACAGTATATTTTCAGAAGTTTATTTAATTTTCGCCATATACTGTTTTTTTTATTTTCCAAGATGGAAACAATACCTTTGTAAGTGCGTTTGTAATCTTCCACCCAAAGTCTGTCCTGTAGATAAGGTAAGATTCATGAAATTAAGGTTATTTAGGATATCTTGATGTAAGATGAGGTGTGTTCTTTCGACGCGCATCGTGCGAAATATCGTGTCACATATATTTTTTTCCTTGGACAGGTGTGGAGCCCCGATCAATGTAGCTGTGTGTGTAGCAATGACGCACTCAAAAAATGCGCAACACAAAGCCAGTTGATCGACAAGGAGACTTGCTCTTGCAAAAACCTACCACCAGGGATCGCAGGAAGGAATAGTAGGTTGATTCAAGAGAATAACTAATTATACATTCTATATTATCTATACCCCGTCAAGGAATTGCTAACTCACAGATCGAATCCTGACTAACTGATCTAAGTCAGGGCATGGCCGCAGATAGCCCCCCTTAAACAACCTCTGGGCTGATCGAAGTCAGGGCATGGCTAATATAACTCACAGATCGAACCCTGAAACAACCTCTTGGCTGATCCAAGTCAGGGCACAGCTAACTCACAAATCGATTAAAAGAGTGAGGACAATTGGAAACCAAAGAATCTGAAGAAAACCTATCAAAATCAAGGAAGGGAGCCAAAAAACCCTTTTCGATTGCGTGAGATTCAGAGTCTTGGAATGAGATGAATGTGAGCAAGTCATGAAGAATGGTTTCTAATACATACTGTTTCGTTTATTTTCTTACTCCTTTGTAGCTAAAGGAGTTCCCAGGGGAGTCCTGATGTGGTGTATGGTAGCGGAACTGGTTCTCTTGCTGATCTTATTTGATATTTTCCTGTACTGTAAGTTTCAAACTGGGATCGTAACATATCTTTGGCACAAGTGTCGCGCAAAGGAAAGACAAGGTAATGTTGTGACTTTTTCGTTCTCTGAAAGCAATGATTTAGAACGTGGGATATTTTTGGGATATCAAACAACGTACTTGTATTTTTTTAGGGCTTGCTTAGCAATCCAGCCCCGGCTTCAAATTTTTCAATCAAGATTTCACATTTTTATTTTACTTTCATATGAGGTTCGAAATTTTTAAAGATCTCTCGTACGCACGAAAATCAAGACTCTTTTAGGAAACTATTTTGTCTTTACTGTAGAGGCCTTCTCAATCCTAAAAGATAAAATGTTGTTTATTTAAAAACCGGCCAAAAATTCAGATGTGGAATTTCGGTATATTGTTATGGTCAATACTTTTTATCCCCAGACGTGGAAGTTGCTTTACGAAACGAAAATGGGAGTCCAAAGCAAGACTTGAAAACTGATGAGTCGCCTGGCTGCTAAGCATGCGTGGAACATAAGCTCTAGCGGCGCGTCCTTTATGTAGCCCTAGTTAACACTAGCGACATAAGTATAAGCAGCTTCAAGTTCACTTGCTTTTCGGTTTGAATGTTGTATTATTTTTAATGTTTTTAATGTTTTTTTTGGTTTGTAAAGAATCGGGTTTTGTTCTCTATTCTACCTATATTAGATAAACTATTTATTATGGTTGGGAAAAATATTATTTTTAGTACCATCATGACTTTTTATTTTATTTCCCGCTTTTTACCTCGGAGAGCATTTCATTTGTAGCGTAACCAAAATAGGGGAAAGACCAGGGCCCGGTTGTACGAAGCCTGGATAGCGCTATCCGGCGGATAAATCTTTATCCAGTGGATAAGTCGATGCTGTTATCCAATGAATTTATCCACTGGATAAGATTTATCCGTTGGATAGCGCTATCCAGGCTTCGTACAACCGGCCCCTGACTTAACTGCACGAGTTAGGAGGCGAAGTGAATATCGGGGAATATTTACCGAGACGCGAGTCTTCGAGCAGCAAGGTAGATATTAACTCCATATTCACTGAGCCTGAGGCGAATAATTGTTTTAGCATATACCAACTTGTGTACAGAGTAACTTATTTTTATATACAATAATTCAATAAAAACAAGCAAACAGAAACTTTAAGTTTGCGTGAAAAATTCACGCAAAACTTTAAGCAAAACTTTTAGGCCATACTTCGTTGCCTTTTTAGTATTGATAAGAATGGCATTTACTTTCATTTTTTCAATTTCCTCATCAGAAATTGTAGCAAAACTATTGCCGGAAGATGCCATTTTGTTGCCGACTCAATATTCCGAGATTCAGAGGTGAATATCGTACAATATTCACCTCCAATTAACCAATGAGCGCGCGCGTTCTTAGGAAGTACACAAGTTGGTATATGCTAACAGTCTATATCTTCGAGTCTAACTTTGAAAAGTTTTTTTTCTGCTTGTGAAACCTACCATAATCTTCGTCAGTCTGTTTTCTTTAATAACTTAATAAGGTTAAATTATTTACATTCGTTTGAACGTGAAATTAAGTGCATTAAGTAACAAAAAGTGAATTACAATGTAAGAGGGATTGTTAACATATCTTCGAGTCTTATTTAGAAAAGGAACTTCTTGAAATAAAATTAGATCTTTGGCTAGTCTAAGTTGATACGGTTAAGAGACGAATACTTTATATAGCAATTGACAGTTTCGCGAATAAATGCTTCACTTGTGTGTTGTTACGTCGTTGTGATAGCCGTTCCGAGATCGAGAAAAAACTGAGTGACAATTGACAATTGGTGCTAATCGACAAGAGATTCCCTTAGTAAATGGCAATATAATGCAATAAGCCTGAAGCGAGATGACGTTTTACCCCCGACTCTATACCATAATAGTTTTTAAAATTCTTTCATATTAAAATTTTTGATTCCTTAGAGAATACATGAACAATAGTYATAATTAAAGAACAAAAGCAGTGTGAAAAGGATTATGGTCTAGAGACGGGGGTAAAACGTCATCTCGCTTTAGGCTTATTGCCCTATTCTTAGAGCGAGCTACCGCTGTGTTCATTGATAGCAGACGCAGTGGAGATGTCTAGGGAACATTTCCAAGAAGGCGTCTATTTTGGCCTAAACGATCCCAAAATGCACTGCAATCCCAATTCTGCCCATGCTTTTCCTTAACCTCGGAATGGCTCATGATAACGAGGTCAGTTGTTCTTTCTCATAAGAACAATGCATAATTACATTCCTAGTAAACGTGTTGCATTCGTGAATGTGTCTTTCTTCTAGTAGTAAAAGTAGGAAGCAATGACAAGAAATTATTGATACAACGTATTTTTGAAAGCAAAAGTGTTTCAAAAGTTTATCGTTTCATCCTTATATAATATTTCACCAGTACAAATGATAACTGATTTTGGTTTGACGAGACTGAGCTAAAATAGAAGCTTTAATACTGACTTTTATTTTTCATGCTGCGATACTTATACTCATACTTATACTCAAATTGACCTATTCCTTTTCAATTTATACACTTAAATGAGCGGGACTCGGCGTTGGGGTAGCAGTACCATCTGTTTGTAGCTGGTTAGCTATCTGTTGTAATTCTTCAATCCCTTGATACGAACGTTCATATTTATGTTGCACAAGAGAACGATAAAAGTGTATAGCAAACACAATAAACAGAATACAAACTGGCAGCAAAACAACCGTAGTTGCAACGGCTGCAGCCTGGCTGTAATTATAGAATTTCACCCAAGAAAGGATACCTATTTCAGCCAAGAAGAGCAGAGTTCCAAGACCAGTTGAAAATACCCACGCGATCTCGATGTACGTGTGCATCTTTTCGTGGGGAGAGTCTTGTACCATGTGGTTGTAATTGTGATGGAGATTTGCAATGCTTTCGATGTTGGGCAAGATACATACTGAGATCATGAGTGCGAAGACATGAACGGATATTAAAATAGTTGTGACGACACTGAATGCGATGTGCAAGCCCTGAGGTATTCCTTTTTCTAGCTGGATCTCGACCATGGCAACCTATATGACACAAATAAAAAAATACCAGGAAAGCTTTAGTCTAAGAAATAGTATCACCAATTCGCAAACAGGTAGCCTTACGACTACTTTACGTATTAGCGTATAATCTTGTATACTTATGCATACCTCACCGCCTTTACATTCATTCATCAATGTTGCCATTTTTAATTCATTATTTCTTTTAATTTGAAAGGCTTTGTTTTGGGGGATAGGGGAATGTACGTTTTTCATTAGGGGAAGGCTGTGGCTTCAAAGAGAAGGGTCATCAGTAAAAAAAATCAACTTTTCAACAACAAAAAATACTTAAAATTACCGAGGTACTAGTAAGGATAAATGATGCATTTGAAAAAGTAATTTTCACTGAATGAGGCAAATAAAGATTGTTCACTTAGTCATATCCTACACTAAGCAAATAATAAACAGAATCAGCATTTATTACTGCTTTTGTAAGCTTAATTGATAGAAAACACGAGAAACACCTTGTGTCTAGATTCGTTTGTTTGGACCAAATGAAATAATCCATACTAAACAATGATGCATAGTTTTGAGGGAAAACATACAAAAATAACTTTCAGAAGGAGAAAACATTAGTATATAATATTTTAAGACATTAGAAAACTCAGTTTATCAGGATTATCAGCTCATTCTCACAACCGTTGTGAAGTGCATCAAATGGCTTAGTTTCAACCACTAGTAATTAACAACTGGATTATGCTAATCAGCAAATATACCTTAACCTTAATGTTTCTACCAATGACATCAAACTGCCATCACAATTGTGTCAAAATCATTGACATTAATCAAATTTGCAATCTGATTGGTTACCCCGGCATGCAAATTTTTGCAACAAAACAATTCCTTTGTTGAATAACTTTGCTGCAATATTGGCCACAGGAAACTGGATTTTACAAAAAAACAAATATTTATCTAAAAAATAATGACTCATTTCAATTGACAATTCAAAGATATTGTGCTGAAATTGAATTTAGCCATTTAGTTAATACTCTACCCCTCAATTACTATGATCTAATCAACTGTGTTTTATTATTACAACGTTTCTACCAAAAATAATATAACCTGATCTACTACTTCAGAGAATAAAATGTCATGCTTTGACATTAGTTTAACTTGCTGGTGGTGTGTAAAATATTCACCAAATGAGCAAAGCTTTGTCAAATTTGTCGTTTCTAACAAAACTATAATTCCTGATCTGCTTCTTCAGAGAATAAAATGTCATGCTTTGACATTAGTTTTACTTGCTGTTGGTGTGTAAAATATTCACCAAATGAGCAAAGCTTTGTCGAATTTTTCGGTAGTGATTTCGCTACATCGTAATTATAACTGGCAAACACCATGTAAGAATGAGATAGTATGCTTACATGCAGTAATTATTGTAAATTTGCAAACAACAGAATATCATAATACAAAAAAGGTGTCTCTGGTATATTACAATGATTTTCAAGGGTTACTTTAATTTGTATTATTATAAAAGAAATAAAAAACTTGCTTGTTGTACTGTGTTGAATTATAAAGCACTTGGGAATTAGCAGAACACTAAAACAGTATTGAGAAGCACTCTGCTATCGTGACCTCTCTCATGTTCTCATGTAACAGTTATACAGCCATGTGGGTTGGCAGAACATGAGAGAAGTGCTAGGAAAAGCATGTTACTGCATGCAGTATGCCCATGCATTTTCTATTTCTTCAAGAGTTAATGCCATCAACATTCAGAAAGGCCATAAACTAAAAACAAGATGATGATTTTGGTAAAATTGGAATTCTGTTATGAAAGATAAAATTCCAAAAGATATATTAATTGCAATAGTCTCGTTGCACTTTTCTTAATATGGAATGAAAATGAGGTGAATGGGAATGAGCTTTGCAGATGACTTTCTTTTTTCATTTATTTTCACTTTAGAAAGTGAAATTTTTATTTCAAATCGTACCAGTAAATGGTCTGGAGGAAGCTATATGAATTAGGCTAAAGTGGCTGCCAATGATTGTATTGGCACAAAAGTCGAATTATAATTCATATAAATGATACTAAAATGATATGGTTGATAAGAAAATCTAGAAAGCCGAAGTGTTTATGAAGGACACTCTTTCCTAATACGAGAGAAATGAAACGTAAGCTAACCAGGATGACCTTTGCTGGTACTTGGTTTGAAACCCAAAAGCAACGCCTAAACTTCCAAACTGTTTTTTAACGTCGGCTTTTTAAATAAAAAGTATAAATTTAAGTACTGTAACTAGTTCACTCATTTTAAATGTACCATTCTTAAAAAGATATAAGACATTTGAAAATTTAAAAGAATGTTTACATCTTCGTTTGTCCCCAAAGAGAGAGTAACACTAGTACGTAATCTTAGATAAAACCTACACTTTAAGCATTGAATATGACAATGGGGAATAACACAGTTAGTAAGCTAAAAAAATAACATTTAAATGAATACACTGATCTTACCATAGCAAAACCTGACATAAGAGCAGACGTCCTACTTGAAGCTTTAAGTTTTCCTCGCGTGAGATGAAGACGCCGCCATGACAAAGTCTGAGCGTGTAAATCGCTAGGTTTTCCACCGTCAATAGTTACCTGTTTCATCGTTTTAGACCTTTACTTGGACTCCAAAACACTATTACTGTCTTTCATATTTTCGTCTGTCAATTGAAAAGGAACCGATCAGGGTAAGTTAAAGAAGGATTAAGAAGATACACTGTGTTGAAATGTTCATGTAAAAGTTAATTTAATGACAAAGCCGCTGACATACATATACCAGAGGCGCAGACGCCAACAATTTGTAAACAATTTTAATTTGATGACGCTAGACTAGTTTTGATCGCCAAAACACCGCCTTGTTTCCTTCTATTAAATGTAAACGGTAGACTATGATTATCATAAGCATAAATGTAATTTTCTGACAGTTGTGGGAATTTTTAATTTGTTTCCGCGGCACTTAAAAAGCGACTAAAAGGATAAGAATTATATTTTTTGTACTATTCATTGTTTTAGAGAGTTTCTTGAATGGTGCTCAATAAAAAATAATTCAGCCAAACTACTCTGTTTTTGACACAGCTCCAAATTTTGCCTCAAGGGTTTCATGACAGCGCGCTCCGTTTTTCTCGCTCCAACAGAGTCGCTCCAACACCAACGGAAGTAAAACCTCGAATAACCGAAACAACATCATATTATGAATCCTGTGAACTCTAAGTCCACGTGGTTTCTTTTTGAATTCAGGACCGAATCGGAAGTGCACAAACGAACACAAGGAAACAATGCGGTTGATTTAATTGTACTGGTCACCATGACGATGTCAATCAAAAGCCGCCAGATTTCTGTGGATAGGGCCGGGGAGTATTATGGTATGTTTTTAGGCCCCAAGGGATCTGACTAGAGAACTGACTCGACAACTGTGTAGATGTGACCTTAGATGCAGCACTTTAGCTTGAATATTATCATGTCTTTGTTGAGAAAGAAAATTTAACCAGCTATGGAAACGGACCTTGAAGCAAGTCGAAACTTGGTGTGTAGAGTACAGTTTATTTGAGTTAACTTAGGGGTCGATATTTTCTTTTTTAAACCATAAACCGGCTTTTATTTGTGGTCTTTAGTTGTGGTGTGTGCGTTACTTTGTAGTTGGCTGTAGAAAAGTTTTGAATCAATCGTGACTTTCCTCAGCAATTATTTGAACCGTATTCTGTCTGTTAAATATTTCCCTCAATTATTATAGAGGAGACAGCAACGAAGAAATTATCATGATAATCACCAAGACGATGAGATAGAAGGCAAACGAACATTTAGCGTTGATGATAAACTTGTGAATCCGAAATTCGAGGGATCCGACTTCGTGCAGTTGATGAATGGCTCTGGTGGGTGATGGATTAAAAAAATTATTTGAATGGGTTTTTTGATATAAATAAAGTCCAAATATCAATGAAAACTCCTTGATTATGACGAGTATTTTTACTTTCCTAGATTTCACATTAAAGTACATACAAGAGAATGGTTTTAAAACTCCACTCCACATCAAGAATCCAGAGGGGTTGGGAATGCGGTACGTCTTCTCTAATAGTTGCACATCTTGCATGGAGTTTTACATATTACTTCACATCTAAGCTTCTTTCGAAGTTAAAGTTATTTTCTGTTATGCAGGATGCCTTCAGATGCATTCACTGTAACAGATGTGAAGAACTATGTCGGTAAGAACACAAAATATTAATCAAGTTCAAGTTATAATTTTGCACATTTTCTGAGCTATTCTCCCCTGGAAAGCACCTAAAGGGCACGAAGATGTTTGAAAACGCGAGTTCCTAATCCATCAAAATTCAAGTCTCGATAAATAAAAACCAATATTAAAGCTGAATAAAGTATTGAAAATGAGAAATCTTGGATGCTATATGCTTTTTGGATTTTCTAGGAGCAAGAAGGATGGTAGATGTAATTGATGTGAACACCCAGCAAGCCTTAGAACTGACTCTCCAGAATTGGGTAAAATATTTCACGAACCCAGATAGAAAGTTGATTTATAATGTGATAAGTTTGGAGTTCAGCCACACCAAACTGCAAGATATCGTCGAATCGCCTGATGTGGTGAGATTCCAATACATCTTTTTCTACATTTGATTGTTTTTTGTTGTTGTTTTTTTTAACTTTATATTTATGACCGAATAAACTACTTTAGGTGATAATTGTCCCAACGTGCAACAAATTTCGCCTGGTACAAATAACATCTAACAGTATATCCCAGTGTTAACTGAGAAAATTATTTCCCTTTCGATTGAAAATTGGGAAAAAAGAGAGAGAATGATTCCATTATTGTAAAATCATCAAAAGTAGCTGACTCTTGGAAGAACTAAGTTCCAGTTTTCAGATATATGGGTGGTGTTGGTGTAAGTAAATCCAAAATTATCTACCCCCGCTCTCCAAAAACGACGTTTCATGAAAAAATCCTCTATTTTAGAGACATCCATGATTGGCTAGTGCCTATTTATCGTGATGAGAAGTTTTACTCTCTTCTTTTTTCCCCATGATGAAACGCCTATCAATAGCTTTTTGCAGTGTGTGCTGGCCTAGGAGAGGAGCTGTAAATGTTGCCGTACGCATCACAACGAAATTAGATATCAATAGTCACAATCTTATCAAGAGACCGATTACAACAACTGCACCAACATGTAATTCGGTTTTGTGACGTGTGGGGCGAAAACAGAAGGCAAAAGATGCTGAAATATCCGAGCTTTGCTATATAAGAACTGACAGTTCAAAATGCTAAAATTTAAATTTCTCGAGCATTTTTTTCCATTATTGGGAACATTCATAAGTGCGAGTAAGAAATCTAAGATTTTCTGTATTTGCTTGGTCAATATGGGTGGATTTCGTAAAGCTAGTGTTCAAAAGTGCAAAAGTGCTTCTAATATGGTCGGGACCAAAGACAATGCATATTAATTACGTTCACAAAGCACTCGTGTGTTTTAAAAAAATATCGATTTTGAAACGACCATGACCTTTGTACTACACTCCAAAACCGAGAAAAAGTATATTTTGAGGTTTTCATTAGGATATTTGGAGTTATTTTTCAAAAATTGTGTTGAATTTTTCCGAAAAGCAGCGTGCTCTCAAGTGTAAGCAGGAACCAACATGGCGGCCAACTACCTTAGTCCATGAAACAGCACGAAAACCAAGGGTGTAGTAAGACGAAATACGGACGAAATGTTTTATAAAATTTCTTTTTACAAAACTCAATATATATCAATTCTGTAGTTGTAATACAAAAATACAGGAACTAAATTTTAAGTTAGAAAATAGTTTAAGTTCGATTTTCGCTGGTTTGATGAAAGTCACTCCCGCTCAATTATGATACCCTGACCAATAAATTGACCCGGCAGTTATAAACTTTTTATTCATTTCGAACAGATCGAGATTAAACTATTGAGGTAAAATACTATTTTGACATCACAATTCATATTCCTGTACAAAAAGTCGTATTTGATAGCTTAAAAAATGCATAGTAGTTGATTTTAGCGTGAAATTTTTCAATGTCTTTCAAACGATTTCCCAAGTGAACAAATGCGAGCAAAACTTTTTCAAACTCTGTACCAAAAATGTGACGCAGACAGTGTTAAAAACTTAGATAAATGCATTTGATGCTTTGATATTTTGTTTTACTCAAAGTTTCTATGGCAAAAGCCTGAGATATCAGTATCTTTGTAAAACTTAGTTGACGATTTTGTGGTTTTCAGCAAGCTTCTTATCGAGGAAAAAATAAGTTTCGGTGTGTCTTACTCATAGAGTAAGATTTCTTCCTGAAACGGCAAAAGAATTACCAGAACGAAGGCTTCTTTTTAGATTCTTGACTTCTTTAGCAATGTCAAGATATCATTTTCTTTGCACTTCAAACATTAGTTTATTCAAAAAACAAGGCTGGAATAAGAAAAAAAGATTGCAATGCCAGTGAAATTGACTTCGTGTTAAATAGTCCGTTTTAAAAAAATGCTAAATACTAATACAATGTGTTTTGAGGGGGGAAAAGTGAACGCTAGGAATAAAGATATCACTTACACGCCCGATTATTCTCGTATTTACATTGTATTAGTAATGATTTTCTTCGTTTTTTTACTTATTTGACCTAGTTTTTACAGCAAATGAAGAATGAAACTAAAAACAAAAGCAAAAATGAAAGAAAGAAAAAGGGAAAATGTTCATTTTTTCTGTTTTAGGCGAAACGTGTGTAACAATTAACCGATAAAGCATGAATAGCAGGCGTAAAAAGAAGAAACAAAATTGAAATCTCAGAATTAAGATAAGCGCTTATTTATTCATCAATTCGTGTAGATAACTTTAGAAAATTCCTAAATGAAAACCAGTAATTGAGTGGTAAACTACATAGGTCTTACATAAAAATAAGCTAAAATATAAAGTTAATGTCGATCATTTTATGTAGTAATAATGTCATATCTTTTGTGAACTGGCTGCTCATTGTTATCCGTATGCTATACTTCTATAAAATTGACTCCTGTGCTTTTATAGCATGGATTACCAAATGATTTTCTAGCGTGGCTTGACTTAGTAAGCGTGGACAGGTTTAGGGATGGCTTTCGAAATAAAACCTACAAACTTATACCGTTTTCTTTTTGCTTTTTAGGTTCGTCAAATCGACTGGGTTAATACAGCTTGGCCAAAGCAACTGATAGAGGAACAAACAGACTCTACCAATTCTTTGGCCGACATGAAGTATCCTAAAGTTCGAAAGTAAGTCCAATCTGCACTAAAATATTTCCTGCTGATAAAAAAGGTATTATTTTCGTAGTTAATTAACACAACATACATACGGTACCCTCATAAGTCGTATAGTTATATTTATTTTTAAGAGATCTTTTAGTGCAATTAGATTTAGGAAAATGAACTATAATTTCTTAAGAGCAATACCATTCTTTTTTTTTTTTTTCATGCTTTCGGAGAAATTTCTTTAGTCAAAGCTAAGCTCGTAAATCTTTAATTCCAATGAATACGAACTGAGATGTCAATAGAAACTCGAGCATTTTTAGCCATACCTAAAAACACGGAAAATAATTTTGGCGCAAGGACAAATTCTTATCGTAACACCTCCAGGGAACAGTTAACATTAATCGAATTCTAAGTTCAATGATATAACCAATCTTTAATCACCACAATAATGTATTTTGAGCTTAAGCTTTATTTATTCTTTAATAAAGGCTCTCCAGCAACCCCGTTGTATATTCTGAAAGCAGTCGTCTAGCTTGGCATTTATAGCAATAATTCAACCCATGCATTCTCTTTCAGTTTCCAGTTTTTCTTGCCAATTATAACTCTCTTCTATTGCACGGAAAGATTAAAAAACACAACTGAAAATACTCCCTTTGATGTGGTTTTCTTGTAACAATGCTCTTCTAGCATTTCTTTTCGGATATAAAGTATATGCATAATTCTTGTTTGGTTTCATAATGACTGGTGAATTTTCTTTATATTGCTTTTTAAAAAATTTACTGGATAATAATTATCATCGATCTTCGATAGAACATTTCGCTCACGAATATTTAGATGTATAGAGCTAAATTGGCGCTCAAGCTACTCAATTACACAGATTCATATGCAAAGACTCCTAATAATGTCCTTACACACTTTTTACCATATTCAGGTTTTTCTTCTCCACATTAGTCGATTAGCCTCAATGATGCTACAGATATTCCGTTAACTTGAAGTATATTGTAAAAATCATTTTAAATATATCGAATTCTCGCGGAATGTTGAGGATTTTGAAGGCGGGTGACGAACAACATTCAACATTTTCAATAAGTGACCTCTTTGATTGTTCGTTGTGTTTTAGTACTTTGCAAGCAAATTGTATTTCCTTTGATCATCGTGGCTTTACATCTCGATGAATTACTATTTTCCTTAATTATCAAACTTCAGAAATCCTTCTCCGCGTTCTCCTTGAATTCAATATTTTGTTATTAGTGCAGTTTATGGAATAAAAAGATCTAAAAAAGAAGTGTGCAGTCGTTCGACGTAGTAATTTTATTGTCCTCGTATTTATTTATTTATTGTTTTCCATACGCTTGTGCTTAGTGATTCTCGGTTTTATGAACTTAATAATCAAACATTCCTTCATTTTAAATCAGCAATAAAGTTGATAAACCATAGTCGTAGTACCGAAGAAATATTTTTTYCCCTCCAAAGCTGAAATGTGCTGGCCGACAAAAACGAACCCTATTGCGTGACATCGATCTCCACGTTCGATTAACAACTAAACTCAGTTACCTAAGAGTTTTCTTAAAATATCCAAATATTCACTAAACCATAGATGTTCTTACTACGTTTTTAAGCTATATATAGCATTAGTTTAAAAATATTGTCGTCTTTATTGGGTAGCTTGCGGTTAAACTTGAAAAATCCTGTTCATAGAAATCCAGCATCTTGAGACCACGTTTACAAACTATGCAAATAATATCCAAAATAGCTTTCAGCTTTTATGATTTTGTCGTGTATTGAGACAGAATTAGTAATGAATTTTCGGTAATATAAGAATATCCAAGTACTAAGCGAAAAATATATTATGTTATAAACTAACTAACCTTCTGTTTACGGGGAGTATTTCGCTTTTTGACTGAACGAATTCGGTCTTTTCCACAGTGACTCTTTGTTTAGTGCGATAAATCTATCTCGCCACACATCGTGAATAACTGACTTGATCGTGTAGAAGTAGAATCGAGGTTGCTCGATTACCGATTATTTATCCTCTGATACGTTCAAAGTTCCATGTTCTTTGAAATCGAAGGTTTTATCCCCAACTTCATAGCATCATTCACAAAACGAAATATTATACTGAGCTTGAATCTCGTCAGCTGTACCTTGGCGTCCTCATTCCAGCGAATCCTTCATATAATAACTAGTTATTTCAAATATTCTTGCTATTAAACTCTAACACCACATCCCTTGTTTATATTGTAGCCAGTTAGCATTAGCTTACTATCATTCCTTGCCTGTGAAGCAGAAACTCTTGTATGGCTAAAGCGATGTCACGTTCCCGCTGTTAAAATCTTTGCTCAACATTTGGCCTCGAATTCACATACATTCACGTGTAACAAACCCGAATCGGTCACAAACACGCCTCCAGAAAGTCATTGCTTTTGTTATTATTTGTATTTAAATACCTTGTTTTAAGAAGTCGTTTTCTTTACTAAGCAAAGCCTAATTTATATCACACATCTTTTTCGAAATATTGCTTTCTTTTTGTAGGATCCAAGTATTGTGCATCATACTATAAAATTATTACCAAAATTGATTTTATTTACCTATTGTCAATTTTCTCACGAGCAAAAACAGCGAAACTTTCAAGCTGGAGCATCTTATTTTATTTGTAATCGCAAAATGTATTCGTTCCTGCCTGCCTAACATAAGATTTACAAGACCTTTCACAACACTGAACCAACCCACCAACCAATGTTGTTTTGTTATTTAGGTACTGCCTCATGAGCGTTGGAGGATGTTACACTGATTTTCACATTGACTTCGGTGGAACTTCTGTGTGGTATCATATCATCAAAGGACAGAAGGTATATTCTTTACTTCAAGTAACTGGTTGGTAACGATTACCAAGAACCCAGACCGAAATTATAGAAAACTTTACTTGGCCATAAGGTAGCTTTATGAGCTCACCTCCCAAAATTTTCAAAAAACTTGAAAATGTAAAAATTTAGACGTTGGAGAACCAAGCAATTTTTATATTTATTTTGCTTTCTTCGATTGGATCGTTTTTACCGGCAAAACAAATGTAACACAAATTAATCTATTTTTTCCATTGATTGATGGAACTGATCAGAAATTGTACTTACTAAACAATCACACGTTGAAAATTTCTCCCAACCGCTCAATGTAGACAATCAACAATGACAACTGAATTAAGCTCCCCTCTCCTCCGACTTCAAAATGATCAGTATTTTGCTCCAGACTTTATATCCTCTAATATACTGATTAACAATGCTGACCTACACTACATCTAGTATGATAGGTGATTCTTGGACTGAATGTATGGTTATCGTACCCCTGTATAATGACGATAAAAATGTACCTGCCATAAAAAGAGGGTAATCAACTCACTCTTATATCACACTGTCAAAGGACAATAATCATACCTCTCATTATACTTCCCTCTCCAACGATAGCAAAAATGAAAAAATACAAATGAACATGCGGCCTAGCAAGAAAACAGTGAGCTAATTCTGAATCTCAGCCATTTATACCCTAGAAATAGTGCTTTAATGCTTATTATTACGAACATTTGCTAGCAATTTGTGCTTGCAGAAGTTTGGGATATGGACGTATAAAAGTGTGATTTGTAAAAAAAAGTTTAGGTGGGAAATGGGATTGACACTCCTCCTTCAAAGTGCTCTCTCTAACCAATATCGGAGGGATGTAAAAGAACTATTAAGGACGTTGAAAAAACCCTGCCACTGAACCACCCTCAGTGTCTACACCTCATTCTAAACACCTTATATAGAAACCTGAAATTCATAACTCATCATAAACTGTCTTTGATTATATACAAATAGAAAGAGCGCTCTATAAATTATCGTTAGCCATTCTTATTTTCTTTCTTTCTTTCTTTTTCGGCTTTAATGTTTTATAACTAAATGACTGTCTATTTTATACTTCTTTTTAGATATTCTGGCTTATTCCCCCCACAGAGACGAACCTACAGCTCTACGAAAAATGGGTTCTCTCTGGCAAACAACAAGATGTATTTTTCGGTGATCAAGTTGAAAGGTGTTCTCGGGTGTTTCTGAATAGTGGAGATACGTTCCTGATCCCGACAGGTTATTATATTAGGTTTATTGTTAGTTTGTTAGTTGTTTATTGGTTTATTTTATCTGTTGCCATTTTATTCATACAGTCAATGTCATTAACGTTGT